TATCTTGTTTTATCATCCAATAATACATTAATCATTCAAATGTAATCATATTTACCATTCTCAGCTTTGTTTACAATTTAAAATTAAAACATATTATATCAGGCATATTCTCTTCTTATTCTCTCATATTCTAATAAGTTCTCTTAGGTTTATGTCATATTAGTATATACTCTTGTATTTTTATAAAGACCTCATTTTTGACCACCTTTACCTCAATTTTCTATTTTAATTACCTTCTTTTATTCTCCATCTTTATTATTCTATAAGCACCTCCTGTTTATATTTAAAAGTCATTTAAACATATGAACATTTAAACATTACATTTTAATTTTATCTATTTTATTTCTTCATTTCCCTATCTGTCCATAAGCATTCCACTTCAAAATCCGTGTTTCCGTGTTTGAAACTCTATAAGTCACTTTAATTCTTTTGTAACATCTGTTCCATATAAAATCCATCAGCTTCCCTTTTTTTGTTCCTGCACCACATCTTTTGTTCCTGCACCAGTTAGTTTCGATTTTAATAGTTCCATTATATTTCTTCTTTCTTTATCAAATCACCCGTAGACAGAATAGGAATCTCCAAAATCCAAAAGTCCATAATTATTTTCAAGGTAATCCAAACCAAGTAGCAAGTCAGAATATTTCTTTTTCAAGCAGAAGGCGAGTCTCTACAATCCACACTTTCGCTTAGTCACAGCAATCTCCATTTTGTATCCATTATGTAACCATCCATTTGTCTCTCTTCTTTTAACTTTTAAAGGTGTTAAATCCATAGTTATAGCTTTTTTCTTTTTCCTTTTTCCAAGGATTAAATCAATTCCAATTTAAAGAAAAACCCAGTTTTCTAGTATATTAATAATCAATTCTAGCAAGTCAGCCTGTACCAAGGCAAATTTCTTAATGGGTCTTTGTCTCCTTTTATTACTTTGTCAGATCTTCATGCCCCATAAATCTACAGCCGCTATTTAAAGCTGGGGGTCTTATTGATAAAAATCCATACTCAAGTGTTGCTTCCCGCCAGGATTGGTGTCACTCATCCGGCTTCAAAGTACCTCATTCTTTCTTCTTTCCTTCTGCACAATTCTTTTCCCAGTTTGTCGCAGCTTCGTGGCAGCTGCCATGGTGCCGCCGCCCCTCCCCCCCGCTGCTGACTCAGAGGGTTCCCTCTGGCCTCCGAAGAACTTGTCTGTTCCTCTCGGCCGTCCGAGGCGCCCCTCTTCTTTCCCCCATCCTTGCAAGACGGTTTCGGTCTGAAGACCCATCGGCGGCGGTTCATCAGTCGGGGTTTTCGCGGGGCTCATCAGAGCCCTCTATTTCCCTGACTGTTTCGCCGTGACGCCAAACCGGAAGCCTTGCTTGGAGCTTCTTAATCAGATGAGTCTGTCACAACCGGGGCTGCCAAAATATAGAGGTCTGAAACATTATATAATATTGCTATAATTATGTGTGTATACATACAAAAGAAGAATAAATAGCTACAGTACAAAATCTTCCAAAAGGGTACATTTCTTAAAAATATAACCTTATATTTGATCTTAGAAGGTGGAAGAAAAATGGGAAGGGTTTCAAGGCAGGAAGAGGAAGAGAAGAAAGAGGAGGAGGAGGAAGCCAGTTGGCAAGGGTAACTATTCATAGTGGCCATGTGAATATCAACCTCACCATACACAATACAGAGCAGTGGGAGGTGGACAAATGTCCAAGATGATGCTTCTCCATTTTGACTATCTTATTTGAGTAGAAGAGAGTTTACTCAAAATGGACAAAGATCTGGTACCATTGGAACACCAAAAGAACAGGGTAGGGACAGACTATCAGAAAGAAAATCTATGTGTTCACTAAGAATTGACACTGATTTCCTGGCACATAATCAATCAATCATAAAAACTCATCTAAAAGTTCAATTTCAACAGAAAGCCAGTCAAATTATGCACCCCAAAGATAACTGAGTCAGAAGTTTGCTCAGGTAATTAAGGACTTTAATTTTTTTCTGGCATGATTAAATTTTATTTAATCAAATAAATTAATTGCAATTCATCAATGCAAAGTGCACTGTCTTCCTTGAGGTCTATGATTAAATTTAACAGCAGAGTTAGCTCTGAGGAGTGTTTTTATTATTAGTGGCTGTCATATATTCATGATACAGTGGAGATTGCCTCAGTGGTGGGTTTCAAATTTTTTTACTACTGGTTCTGTGGGTGTGGCTTGGTGGGCGTGGCATGGCTTGGTGGGCATGGCAGGGGAAGGATACTGTAAAATCTCCATTCCCTCCAGGGGAAGGATACTGCAAAATCCCCATTTCCTCCCGATCAGCTGGGACATGGGAGGCAGAGAATAGATGGGGGCAGAGAACTACTGGTTCTCCGAATTACTCAAAATTTCCGCTACAGGTTCTCCAGAACTGGTTAGAACCTGCTGAAACCCACCTATGGATTGCCTGCTAGGCTATCTTTTGGATTAAAATATTTCTATTGGAATTAAGAGTATGAATTCGAGTTTCTTGTGGTCTAAGGCTGAATATAACAGTCAAGAATAATATAACAGTAGAGAAAGTTTGGGTGTGTTTGGGTGTATTAAGTCCATAGTATGGTAACATGGCTGAAGGGATTACTTATAGTGAAAAACAAATCTGCGCATAAGAGTGAGTGTATAGTTGGAGCAAAGTTTCCTTGAGTCCTATAGCTTTCTTTTGAGACACTAATCCTTAGGTAAACCTCTAGTTCTGCTTAATGAAACTCTTGTGATGGGTAGAATTATGATGTGTACATCTTCCTTAGTTTTTTTCTGGATTAATGAGAACTGACCTGACACAACTATTATTTGATATGACTTATATCTGTAAATTAATATTATTCATTTTATATTTATATGGTGGAGAATATCTGTAATTCCATTCTTTTCTTCTTCCCATTTCCCTTTGAATGTTTAGTCATCTTGATTAATGAAGAATTCCCAGAAATTCTAGAAACATTCCACTATTTTTTAGGCTCTTATTCCATATGGCTATTTCTTCTTCTTGCTATTTTTCTGGTTTCCCCCCCCCCCCCCGGACTTGGAATGTGTAGATGCTGATCATTCAATTGCTTATGTAAACATCCTCCTTGAAAAAGCAGATCCAATAATCCTGAGGCAAACCTAGTAATCTTCACATTTAATCCTTGCCAATGTAACCACTGGAATAAGAACTACTTTATGGAGCTTGCTCATCAGAGGGCTAGGCTCTCCTTTCTGAGTTTTTGTTGGTCTTTCCTACTTTCTCCTTTGATCTTTTTTTCTCCATTTTTTTGAAATCTCAGTATATTCAAGGCAATTAAGATGGCTAAAAATCCACTTTTGACTTTCAGTTTACTCTGGATAATCTAAGGCTGATCAAGTAAAAGTCTGTCACTTCAAGCAACCTTTATCCTAAATAACATCTTTGTTATATAGACTTAAACACAGCAACATTCTCGCTAATTCAGCCTTTCTATCTTTTTACTCTTTGTTTTCTATTATTACCCAATTTATGTGTCCTTTCCCTACATCCACTTTTCTGGATCTCATTTTTCAACAGAATCAACGCTCCCAATATTTTTGCAACTCCTTTATACAATCTAGCTTGACGCAGTTCCAAAAAGAAGAAGAAAAAAAAAAGCGGGGGGGGGGGGGAACACTAATTATTTGGACTAGGGATAGAAAACCTGTAGCCTTCCAGATGTTGCTGAATGGCTTCCAGCTTTGGACATGCGGTTGTATTTGCTGGATGATGTGACCCATCAGCTGTTCTGGAACTACAACTTCCCCTAGTGTCATTTAAGTTAATCAAAATAAGATGCGTCCAGTGGCCTGTATCTTTTTTGCTTTCATGTGGCCTTCTATTTGTTGATAAATAAAAATATGGACAAAAATTCTATCTTAATGAAAAAGAGCAACCCTTTTAATAGGACATTCCATAATAGGACAGATAAACAATTTTGGAAGAGAGGCTCCTGAATTAGTGCGAAGGGAGATAAGATCACAGACTGCTTCCTGCTCTAAATTATGTTTTCCATATTGATGTTTATCAAATAATCTTTTGCATGCAGTATTAATTTAACGAAACATTTTTTGGAAGTCCAAACTTCTTTTTTGTGAGAGCTTCTATCTCACAGGCCTGCCGTCCTTCTTGATCCTTTGTGTTGCCCTCCCACTGCAAACACCGGGATGTTAAATTGTTATTGTTTCTGCTCTAAATTTTAATAATTGTTCATACTGTATGATTTACAGTTTCCACCATTATTATATCTTACGTTGCAAGATAATTTTTTTGCAGACCTTTAAGTTTATTACTGAGCTTTTCATTAAATGTTGTATATTAAAATATCAGAAGATACTACTTATGGGGTGCCTGGAGAAAGGGAAAGGCTAGCAGAAAATTTTAATTGGAATTTCCCTTTGACTTTGATCCAGCTTCTCTCCCATTAATGATCAACTCCCTTAATCAAATGGGACTCCTAGTTTATACTTCAACCCACTAAATTCCTACTCAGAACTAAGTCCCACATGTCATGTTTCCTAGAAAGGATTCTTACAATTTTTTAAATTTTTTTTAATTTTTTTTTATTTTATTATTTTATTTTATTTTATTTTATTTTATTTTATTTTATTTTATTTTATTTTATTTATTTATTTATTTATTTATTTTATTTTATTATTTTATTATTTTATTTTATTTTATTTTATTTTATTTTATTTTATTTTATTTTATTTTATTTTTATTTTATAAATTTGAGTGCTGCTTATCTTGTCTGGAGATGACCCTGGGCGGCTTACAAACATTTAAAAACCGGTAAACATTAAAATGATAAAACAATCAACAATAACAACAACAACAACAACAATAATTTAAGATGGGAAGGAAGGGAGCATGAAGACTTTATAGCCTAAAGTACAATTGTTTAGGACTAAATTGTCCTTTAATTCCTTATGAATGGTTTAAATTGAAATGCATAACAATATTTTAATATTTTTCTTTAAGCCTGCCACTAAAAAGATGACGTCGGGCTCCACTCTCTGCATTCTGCCGTTTTCTTGGTCATATTTTTTTGAGTTATTTTGTGACTTCTCAAGCTAGCCAACTACTTTGGAACTTCTAAAGGTATTACATATTCTGTTCATAGTGGGCCATAAAGAACAAATGAAATTTAATATTTCTCTAAGATTAAAATATTATCCAGCTGTGATTAAAGTGAAATGAACCGAATGGAGTAACATAGAAACAGAAAACTGATGGTCCATCAAGTTTGCCCTTTGAGTCTTTTGTTCGTTTTTGTTTTCTTTTTTGTTTTTGTTTTCTTTTTGTTTATTAATTTTAAATTTCTGTCGACAGAATCACATTTGAACTTAGTTGCTGATAATTGACTCACTACCTCCGCTGGAAGCTGGTTCCAAGCTTTTGCTGTTACATTACTTTTGAATTTCTCTCCTATCAGTGTGAGGTCAGTCCCACCCCCCACGTTCTTGATTTTTGCTTAATATTGAAAATACTGCCTTCTAGAACCTTCATTTACATCCTTAATATAAATAAAGTTTCAATCATGTCCCTCCACTTTACCTTCTGTCCTCCAGGCTCTACATATTCAGTTCCTCCAATCATTCCTGATATGTTTTGTTCTTCGGGCCTTGCACCTTTTTTGTTGCCTATCTCTGGACTCTCTCAAGCTTATCTATCTATCTATCTATCATCTATCTATCTATCTATCTATCTATCTATCTATCTATCTATCTATCTATCTATTATCTATCTATCTACTATCTGTCTGTCTGTCTATCTGTCTATCTATCATATCTATCTATCTATCTACTATCTGTCTATCTATCATCTATTTATCTATCTATCTATCTATCTATCTATCTATCTATCATCTATCTATCTATCTATCTATCTATCATCTATCTATCTATCTATCTATCTATCTATCTATCTATCTATCTATCTATCTATCTATCTATCTATCTATCTACTATCTGTCTGTCTGTCTATCTGTCTATCTATATCATCTATCTATCTATCTATCTACTATCTGTCTGTCTATCTATCATCTATTTATCTGTCTGTCTGTCCGTCTATCTGTCTATCATCTATCTATCTATCTATCTATCATCTATCTATCTATATCTATCTATCTATCTATCTATCTATCTATCTACTATCTGTCTGTCTGTCTATCTGTCTATCTATCATCTATCTATCTATCTATCTACTATCTGTCTATCTATCATCTATTTATCTATCTATCTATCTATCTATCTATCTATCTATCTATCTATCTATCTATCTATCTATCTATCTATCATCTATCTATCTATCTATCTATCTATCTATCTATATCTATCTATCTATCTATCTATCTATCTATCTATCTATCTACTATCTGTCTGTCTGTCTATCTGTCTATCTATCATCTATCTATCTATCTATCTACTATCTGTCTGTCTATCTATCATCTATTTATCTGTCTGTCTGTCCGTCTATCTGTCTATCATCTATCTATCTATCTATCATCTATCTATCTATCTATCTATCTATCTATCTATCTATCATCTATCTATCTATCATCTATCTATCTATCTATCTATCTATCTATCTATCTATCTATCATCAATCTATCTATCATCTATCTATCTATCTATCTATCTATCTATCTATCTATCTATCTATCTATCTAAGCAAAGTCTACAGAACCTACATAGTACTCTAAACATGTTGATGTCTACCATCAGGCATTCAAATGGATCCTATTAAATATTCTATATAGATGCATTATGATTCCCAGCAGTCTCTGCAAATAATAGCAAAAGCTGCAATGATGCTTTTTTTAAAAAAAAAACAACAATATCCTTTTGGAGTTAATAATCCGCCAGCAAGAAGAGGAAGTCCCAATCCCCAGGATGATGAATTTGCATAGATTTGCTGGAAAAATAAATATACAACATAAGGCATTAATCAGCACAGCAGAACTTTTAACCTTTTGTGCATAGAGTTTTAGATAGAAACAAATTGCATTTGAAGTCATTTAGTAGAGGTGGTGCAGCCAGTTCCAGGGGACAGACCCACCCTGTGGATAAATATATATCATTTAGAGAATTGGAAAGGGCCCAAGCTGTTGCCAATTTTAGTTATTTATAACTTTAAAAAAAAGCATAACAAATGTGTGCAATATCTGATTTAAATTCAGTCCAAGCTGGGTGGGGTTTGGAGTGATCAGAGAGCAGGTTTGGAATGCTATGCACTGTTCTGTTTCCCAGACATTTTCCCTAAGTGGATGATGCAGGGAATATATTTAGTTTAAATTTTGCAAGAAAGACATGTGTGTGTGTGTGTGTGCTTGTAGAGCTGGAGCTTCCAAAATGCTACACAGCAATGGAAAACTAAGCCCACTTGTCAACCAATAGACAACCACTAGATGGTAGCAAAGAGTTGGTGGACTGTAATATACTTTGTAGCCATCTACTGGTCAATCTGCTATTTGCACCCAGACTTGGATAGTCCAATTTATCTCTCTCTCTTTCTCATAGATGTATGTATGTATGTATGTATGTATGTATGTATGTATGTATGTATGTATTTTATTTATTTATTTATTTATTTGCCACTCATCTCATCTTGACGCGACTCTGGAAGGACTTACTTTTATTCACAAAAGTTAAGTAGTTTGCAGAACCAACTAACATAACAATAATACTGATATCAAAATAACAAATAATAACAAAATGTATAATTAAAAATCAACATTAAATAATAGCAATAACCATTGTCATACTATGTTCTGTATGTAATCTGTCTTTTATTCCTCAGCTCCTGAAAACCCTTCAGAGCAACCAGGCCTTAACTAGCCTTCCTATTGGTACAAATGGGCAGATCTTATTTCCGGAGCAACTTATTTCAAGACAGGGGCGTTTGGGTAGAAAATACTCGTGCTTCAGTCCTCTGTTACTGAGTTCTCTCATAACACATGTCCCCTAGCTATCCTACTTGATCCCATTCCCTGCACAGACAGGCTCAGGCTCCCAGAGGAATGTTACTAAAAAGATATGTGTACATTCATACAGGTAGCCCTCGACTTGCAACAGTTCATTTAGTGACCGTTCAAAGTTACAATGGCATTGAAAAAAGTGACTTATGTCAGTTTTTCACACTTATGACCCAGTGGTGGGATTCAAAATTTTTTACTACTGGTTCTGTGGATGTGGTTTGGTGGGCATGGCAGGGGAAGGATACTATATTCCACTGATCTCCATTCCCACCCAACTCCAGGGGAAGGTTACTGCAAAATCCCCATTCCCTTCCGATCAGCTGGGACTCGGGAGGCAGAGAATAGATGCGGGCAGGGCCAGTCAGAGGTGATATTTACTGGTTCTCCAGACTACTTAAAATTTCCGCTACTGGTTCTCCAGAACTGGTCAGAATCTGCTGAATACCACCTCTGTTATGACGGTTGCAGCATCCCCATGGTCACATGATCACGCGATCAAAATTCAGAACTGGGGAACTGACTCATATATATGACGGTTGCCGTGCCCTGGAGTCATGTGATCAACTTTTGCGACCTTCTGACAAGCAAAGTCAATGGGGAAGCCAGATTTACTTAACATTTGCAGTGATTCACTTAACAACTGTGGCAAGAAAGGTCATAAGAAGGGGGGAAAACTCACTTAATCATTGTCTCGCTTAGCAACAGAGGTTTTGGCCTCAATTGTGATCGTAAGTCAAGAACTACCTGTAGTATAAATGAAACTGTATCGCAAATACAAAATCTGCGCCCCCTATATTTCAGGGGTCCTTACTGAGTAAGACAAAAAACTTAAGACTATCCCAATAAGACAGTAAAGAGCTGGTTCAACTGGGCTTGAGGAGCAGAGTATTACATTATCACAAGACAAAGAAAATGCATCAAGTAGATGAAAATATTGCTGGGAAAAAATAGGTTCTGCGGAATTGCAAAAGGCGCTTTGGGTATTGTTGAGTTACAAATCCAAGCTGCTCCAGGTGATGATAAGAGATACTAAGAGTAAATAATTCAGCAGCATCTGGAAAGCCACAGGTTCCCCACCTCTTCTGTAGCACGTATTAAGTAGAATAATCCATTTATCCTGTCCTGGATCAGGAATTGGAAAAAGCATTGCTGTACTTACAATCCAAGATCTAATTCCAGGAAGGATTACTCACAGCCAGAGAGATATAAAGAAGAGTGTTCAGTAAGTTGATCCAGAAGTCAAAAGCTAAACCAGACGGATTGCTCCTGAGGTTCCAGAATGTAAAACAAGAGCGAAAAGGTCAGAGTCTAGGACAGTGTTTTTTCACAACCGTGGCAATTTTAAGTTGTGTGGACTTCAAGTCCCAAAATTCCCCAGCCATTATGTTTGGGAAGTTCACACATCTTAAAGATTACTGCCAAGATTGAAAAATAAAATAAAATACTGCTCTAGGCAGTAAGAACAGCCAGTATACCATAAAGGTCAATTAAGGTTTAAGAAATGAGAATAACCACAACTAATAGCCAGTGTACCCCAGCAGTTTTTACTTTGTTGTTGTTAGTTGCAAAGTCATGTCCGACCATCGCGATCCCATGGACAACGTTCCTCCAGGCCTTCCTGTCCTCTACCGTCCTCTGGAGTCCATTTAAGCTCACGCCGACTGCTTCAGTGACTCCATCCAACCACCTTCTTCTTTTGCCCTCAATCTTTCCCAGCATTAGGCTCTTCTCCAGTGAGTCCTTCCTTCTCATTAGGTGGCCAAAATATTTGAGTTTCATCTTCAGGATCTGGCCTTCTAAAGAGCAGTCAGGGTTGATCTCCTCTAGGACTGACCGGTTTGATTGCCTTGCAGTCCAAGGGATTCGCAGGAGTCTTCTCTAGCACCATAGTTCAAAGGCCTCAATTCTTTGGTGCTCAGCCTTTCTTCAGGTCCAACTTTCACAGCCATACATTGCAACTGGGAACACCATAGCCTTGACTATACACACTTTTGTTGGCAGGGTGATATCTCTGCTTTTTAAAATGCTGTCTAGATTTGCCATCTTTCATTTTCATCTTTCGTTTTCACAAGCCTGGACATTTTCCAAATGTGTGGACCAATTCCAGAATTTAGCAACCATTCTAGCCCTTACCAATGATTCCAGGAGTGACTTCACATATGTGCATGATGGCCAGCTGTATTAAAGGTGATACAGGTAATCCTCTGCTTACGACCTATTGTTTAACAAACATTCAAAATTGTGATGGCGCTAAAAAAAGTGACTTATGACCGGAGTCCTTGCATTTACATTGCAATATCTACGCGGTCACATCAAAATTCGGGATCTCCTTAACCAGTAGATATTTATGACTGTTACAGTGTCCGGAGGGTCATTCGTCATTTGCGATCTATCTAAGAGCCATTCACCAAACACAGTCAATCGAAGAAGCCAGATTTGCTTAACGACATGCTTTGCTTAATAAACACAGCAATTTACTTAACAACTGCAGCATAAAAAGGTACCAAAATTGGGTGTGACTTATTTAACGACTGTGTTACTTAGTGATCCAGTTGCAGTTGCAAGTCAAGATCCATCCGTAGCTACTCACCTTATCATGGGTACTCTTTTAAGCTGAACGTAGCTGCAAGAACATCCAGATATATCAAGCTAGTCTTAACTGAACCTTCATCTCCAAAGTACTCCTCATATCACTTTCTGTTATTCCATTTCTGGTGTAATTGTTTACATGGGCTGCATGGCTGCACTAGTAAGTATGGATCACAATCCTAAGAAAAAGATCTTGTATAAGACTATCCATATATAAATAATAAAAATAATCTTTCTGCAGTGATCCTCTGGCTGATCATATCTGATTGCCCCAATCCTAGGTATTTTAGGGACTATTCCAATTGTTGAGGAAGACTTGATGAGATTCTCCGATGTGTATTCTTTCACTGAGAAATGTTCCTCAGATGAGGCCATGATACCCTCATAACATTCTACAAGATTTTTTTTTGTCACGTATATGGTCTTCATGTTTGAATACCACTTTTATCATTACAAGTGTTATCTCAACACTGAGTTTCTTCTGGTTGTTGCAAATATTTCATATATTTTCCTTTAAAGTACTCCTAATGGAATACTTCAAGGAGCACTTACATTTGTTTCACACCCTTCACAGAAATGTCAACAAGTACTTCTCACGTAGGAACAAACCAAGTTAAAAATAGATGAACAAAATGTCTTTGTGCCAGGATACACACGCATACATACACACACGCAAATATTGCACAATTGATATGAGTCACCAGTGGACTACTTGGAATGAACGTGACATATGCTATGTGTCCATTCTGATGAATGTAGGCTCTGCTATAATTTGGTTTGATTTGTTTTGATCACAGAGATAGCTGGTGGATTTTTATCATAAAACCCACTCGGAGAAAAATTATGTTCTAAAAAAGCAAAGGCATCTTTGACAGGCATCTATAAACACCTATTCCAATGACCTAGTGCAATTTTCTAAGATGACTTCTAGAAGTGTTTGGTTTTAATACCCATCATCCCTAGCCAGCCTGTCCAAATGGATTCAGAAATATTAGACAAAGAACGACTGAACAGGGCTGGGGTGGGGCTTCCATGTCTTTCATCTTAGTAGGCAGCGTGTTGTCTCTGTGGCTAAAGAAAATGCTTTTATGATTGTCATGGTAGCCATGGCAATAACCAAAAATTAAATTGGGTGAAATTCCTGAGCATCTAAACCTATCTGCTTCTCGTCCTGGACTAATTCTAAACATTTTCATTTATGAATCCAAAGTCCTTTCCGGGGCTTTCTCTTTTTTTAAAACAAAAACAAAAACCATGAAGCGAAAGTTTCAAGTTGGGAAAACGTTGCTTCTTCCTGAACATACTAAAAAGACATCAAATCAGGGGTGAAGCGCTCCCTGTTCGGACTGGATCTCCCGATCCGGTAGCGATGGCGGCGGGTGGTTCGGAGAACCGGTAGCAAAAATCCCTGCGCCCCCCCGATGCCCAGCTGAGCCGCATGATCATCAGAGGCGCTTTTTTTTTACTTTTAAAAGCATTTTTTCTACAACCTCTTCCAACAAAAAAAATGCTTTTAAAAGTAAAAAAAAAAGCCTCTGATGATCGCACGGCTCAGCTGGGATAGTCAGAGGCTTTTCAAAGCATTTTTTTCTGCAACCTTTTGGCCGAAGAGGGGGTAAAAAAAATGCTTTGAAAAGTCTCTGACGATCCCAGCTGAGTTGCCTGATCCGCAGAGAAGTATTTTTTAAAAAATACCTCTCTGCATTCAGGCAACTCAGCTGGGATCATCAGAGAGGTATTTTTTAAAAAGCCTCTCTGACGATCCCAGCTGAGTTGCCTGATCAGCAAAGACTTTTCAAAGCATTAGAATAAATGCTTTGAAAAGTAAAAAAAAAAAAAGTTGGCCACGCCCACCCAGTCACATTACTCCCCCCCAAGCCACGCCCACAGAACCGGTGGTAACAAATTTTACATTTCACCCCTGCATCAAATACACTGTATTTATGGAAAATCAGTCATTTCAGAGCCAGAGGTTGTGATTATTAATACTACGCATCATTTTAAGCAGCAAAACACCCACTCTAGAAACCAAATCGTCATTAAAAAATGACATGCCATTAACTTGCAACCACACTAATTAACCAATTAAGTATTTAGCAGGAAATTTACTGGATCATTAAATTAAGCTTAAGTACAGGAACAGGCAACCTGTATTGGCCCTGGGGTTACCCTATTAAAGACAATTCTTTTTTTCTCTCTATCCTGTTTTGTTTAGAATGCTTATTGAGAATTTTGATTATAAACATCAAATTCAATACAAGCCAAACTCAAAGAAAGAAAAAATGGAAGAAGAAGTTCAAGAAAAAAAGAAAGAAAAGAAGAAAAAGAGAAGAAAAAGGATATTACAAAGAAAAAATACACGAAGAAGTGATTTCCAATCTTCATCAGAAGTATAGACAAATTCAGTGACCCTTCACTCCCTGTAAGTTTACAAACATTTATCTCTACATTCCATATCCCCTTTTTTATATATATATAAACAAATTCAAAAAATATCATCCTTTCCATCCTAATGGCAGCAGAACATCCAAAAAGGGTAAGCAAAAGTCACAACATATTTTAAACTTGATCAAATAAGCCAATTTATATTCCTTCCTTATACTTCAAACAGCAAATTCAAACAGTTGCTGAACGAGGGGTCATTAAATGAGAACTACTTGTATAACCTAACCCCAATCCATCATGTAAACCATTTTGTTGCTAAATTTCAACTTAATGTTCTGTATGCTGAGAAACAGAAATTACGAAGTCTTATGTCACTTATAGGCAGTAAATTGGCCACTGCTTCTATATATAAATTAATCTACAATTGGTTGCACTTAGAAGAGTCCATGAGGAACTCAAGATAGTGGTTGTAGTCATGTAATAGAAGCCCCACCCATTTTAATATGTGTAACACATGCAACACACATAAAAAAAAAACTTGAGACTTAAATCGCACAATTGCAGCCACCTTCTTCAACATTTTTGACCCCTACTTGCTGCATTGCACTTCAAATAATACATAGTTAGAATGCTGATTTGTACCAATCAATTATGTATGCAAATCTCACACAATGATTCCTTGTCCAGGTTTTTAATAAATGCATCCAAAACACAGCATCAGAGCCAAAGTCATCCTTTCTGATTAGACCCTTGTCTGATTTTGACTTTTCACAGTACACCGTTATGCAGAGTTTCTGTCTTAGCTTTCTTCAGGCTACTCTTTCATGATTAATTCTACAGGGAATAGCCCTTCGGTGCTGCTATTGCTCAATTACGGGACTCATTTTATGCTTTTTATGTTGGTAGCGATGAGAATGTAAATCTTCCTCTTGGATTTTGTTCTTTCTCGCCCTGCCCCTCCCCCAATTTCTTCTAATGTGTAAAGTGTTCCCTGACATTTAAGGAAAAGTAATATATAAAAGAAGGCAATTGTGACTCTGCCTTGTTATGCGTGGCCTAGAAATTGTGGCATTCTAAAATATTCTCCATTATTTGCACTTGTGACATTTATGACAGGCTTCGGAGAGAACAGACTCATTAGTTAAAGGTGAACTTGAGAAGTGTGCCAGTTTTAGAATGTGCTCAATGCTTCCAGAGAGCATTTAATTTATAACTTGGCTGCGATATCTCTATTTCATACCAATATAATAAAAGAAAGTTGAACTTTTGCTAAATTCTATCAATAGCACAGCTCAGAATACCCCTATAGATGTGTGATGGACTCCCACATTCCCCAGGCATTAACTTGGAAAGGTGAAGGATTATTGTGAAGTTTTGAAGGACATCAGGCTGAAGAGGGTTGGGAAAAAATTATTTAACTTAGTTACTGCATTCTAACTGAGTTTCCACATTATACCAAACCGTAAAACATGATTTGTTTGGATTTTGCTTAAGGTCAGTGGTGGGATTCAGCCGGTTCGCACTACTTCGGGAGAACCGGTTGTTAACTTTCTGAGCAGTTTGGCAAACTGGTTGTTGGAAGAAATCATTAAGGCAGAGAACCGGTTGTTAAATTACTTGAATCCCATCACTGCTTAAGGTGCTAGCTGAATCCAGCCATTGTACAGTTTATACCATGTTTTGCATTATAACTTGCCCTCTGAGTAGAAAGAAAGAAAGGAATGGACCGGGAGAGGCCAAAAAGTGAATATGATGGGATTGCATTTACTTCAAAATCTGAAATGGAATCTAAAATCTAGTATAATATCTCCCTGGTCATATATTTAATGAGCTTTCTTCTTCTATCATATCGTATATAAGTCTAGTTCACGTAATTTTTAACTGGGCAAAACAGTGCATCACATGGCAACAATTTTGGGGGGCAAGAGCATTAGGAAATTCCATCTGGTGCAGAACCTGGGTAGTCAATGGTGTGTCAGATATATGGTACATGTAACATCACCTCTGTGTGAGGTGCATTGGTTACTGGTTTGTTTCTGGGTCAATTCAAGGTGCTGTTGGTTACCTTTAAAGTCTTACATGGCTTGGGATGGGGTAACCTGAGAGATCACCTTTTTTCTAAAAGCCTCTACCCATCCAACCAGATTGAACATAATGGGCATGCTGCAGATCCTATCAGCAAAGGAGTGTCAGATGATAGGGACTAGAAGTCAGGCTTTCTTTGCTCTATGGAACATTCTCCCTTTTTGGAGATTAGAATAGCCCCAACCCTGTTATCCTTTTGTAAGGTCCTAAAAACCTGGCTATGTTCCTGAAGCCTGGGGTAGTGTGAATGTATCATTTGCTAGCTCACCAGGTATCTTGGCTCTTATGTATATTTATTTTGGATGTTTAGTTTGGATGTTTTGGATGTTACTTTTATTGTTTTAAAATTTTTAATATTTTGATTGTAATTTATTATTTTTTAATTGTGCCCAAAGTCATTGACTGAGATGAACAGCTAGAGATATTGAATAAATAAATAAAATCTTGACCCAAGGTACCTCAAATGGACTAACTTACAGATTGTGTCCAAAATCTGGGATTCATGATTCCCATGGAATAGAAATTTGGCGATTATTACAATACACTTTACAACGTAAACTATATCATAAAACTATTTATGACATAATGCAAAATGTCATATGACATTTCCTGCTCTGATGTTTGACTATGCTAGGCAGTTCAACATTGGCTACTTTCAAGGCAGATACACCTCTGAGTATCTCCCAGAAGTTTTAAGAACTTTTCAAATACATTAGAAGCTCTGCCAGGCACTGAGGAATTTGGTAAGGAAATATCACTGAAACAATGACCCAACAGGTCATGGGCTATCTAGTTAAGCATTAAATTTGGTGACAATGTTTGAGGGCAGGGGTGGGATTGAAAAATTTCAGCAAAAATTTCAACCGGTTTGTTGCCTGGTTGCTGGGTGGGCGTGGCCATGGAGGTGTGGACTACTCAGCCTCCTGTACCATGGCAGGGGGGCTTTTTCACCCTCCCCAGGCTCCGAAGGCTTTCCTGGAGCCTCCAGGAGAGCAAAAACGGCCTCCCCTGGGCACCGGAGGCCCTCCAGAGGCCGGAAATGGGCCCATTTCCAGACTTCTGGTACTTCCTGTAGGTCTGTTTTTCGTCCTCCCGAGGCTCTGGAGACTTTCCTGGAACCTCCAGGAGGGCGAAAATGGCCTCCCCTGGGCACCAGAGGCTCTCCAGTGGCCGGAAATGGGCCCGTTTCCAGACTTCCGGTACTTCAGGTAGGCCCATTTTTTGCCCTCCCAGAACTTCCGTGTGCACCCTGCACTTACCTGGAATTCAAAACAGGCTGTATGGAGACTCCTGGGAGGGGCGGGGTGGGGTGGGTGGGGTCAGTCAGTCTTTGGAACAACCGGTTCGGCGAACCAGATTAAAATTAACATCTGGTGCTCCCAAACCTGTCCAAACCAGCTGAATCACAGCCCTGTTGAGGATCTCTATAGACCAGGGGTGTCAAACTCGCATCGTCACAGCAATGTTACATGATGTATTGGGACTTTTCCCCCCTTTGCTAAACTGGGCATGGGCATGGTCAATGTGTGACGCATCTGGCCCGCGGGCCACAAGTTTGACAGATTAACTTGCGGACTTCTGTTTTATAGTTTATGATTATGTTAATTTATTCAACAGGCCCAAATGCCAAAACTATGTAACGTCACAACTAGGAACTTGGTCTAAATTTGCGTGTGCCCCATCAGTTCTGCTTTTATATCACACGCATTTGACTGCAAATGTATTGGTACGAAACGTGTTTTTTCCATACATTGACTGAAAAACTGTAAGTGATTTACAGATATATTCAGCATAGAATTCAATGTGTGCCTTTTTCAAAGATCTTGAAAATAGAGTATATTGATAATTTTGTTAAAAGCTAAAGGTCATCTATGATATCTTTATTTTTGAAATTTAATATATATTGGAAGGTTTATTTTGAACCAAATGATTGGGTTCATTTATTTAAGCCAGGGCTATTTCATGAATAGCCGATATTTCACACAATAAGCTAAATCATAAAGTATCACTTACAAAACATAATCATTGGTTCAAGGCTTGCTTGATTGATTGTGTGCCATCAAGTCATCTTTGAATCCTAGCAACTACATAGATTTTTTTCTCCATGACAATCTATCCCTAATATGGTCCTTCAAATCTTCCAGTGGTGCCTTCATCACTACTGCAACATAACTGAGTCATCCACTTTGCTGCTGGATGTCCTCATTTTTACTTTCTTTCCACCTTTATCAGCATTAGAGCCTTTTCCAGAGAGCTAGGTCTTCATATAATATGACCAAAATAGGATAATTTTAGCCTTTTCATTTGGTGAAGAACAAACTGTACATTTTCTTCCCTATCAAGGTATTTTGCTAGCATTAAAAACTGAGCACTTTAAAGTCCAACTGATTTAAGTGCCGGAGTTAAGTGCAATGTAAAATACTGTATTATGAAAACCAGTGGAAATTAAACAGGCTTAATATTGGCTGGATCTTATCCTATTTAACTTGAGCCTTGGCTGCCATGTATATTTACTTGTTTATCTTGGTTGCGGTGCATATTTATTTTGGGTATTTTTATGGTATATATTGTTTTAAAATGTTTTTATTGCTTTTTTTATTGTTGCATATTTTTGGAATGGTAAATCATCAAGCGTCATTGGTTGAGCGGCTATAGTAATCAAATAATAAATAAATAAACCAGTTTACGTAATCAACATTTGCTAAGGTTTTGCTTAGATCAAAGGATGCCACGCATTTCCTTTATTTTCTCACTCTTTTCTTGATTTTGTAAAAGAAAGACATTAAGTGCATTATTGTTGAGAAATGCCTAGCCAGGCATGGAGGAGGACCCAAGTGAGGGGTTAGCCTTGAATATCGCAAGAGATCCAGAATTGACACCCTTATCTATCTGTTCCCAAGAGTGGCAAGGAGTCTGAGGAGATTCTTGTAGTAGAGTCAGAATACAATAAAGTAGTTAGCTTGAACACTACATGTGTGGATCTGGTTGTTTGCACCCGACATTATGGTTAATTTCTTTATTGCCTCAAAAGCAACTGTGCCATGATAATTTCATGTTAAAGGTCAAATTTCCCATTACTTGTTGTTGGATAGCTGCTTCTCTCCAAAGGGTCTCCAAAACAGAACGATGAGAGGCAGCACGGAAGACGTCCACCTAAATCTTGGTCCTTGTATTTGGTCCTAACATCTTTTAGATGTTTAGAAAACTCTGATAGCGCAGTGGTTAAAATGCAGTATTGCTGGGAAACTCTGCCCACTGTCTGCAGTTCGATCCTGATGGGTCTCAGGAGTTCGATCCTGATGGGGCTCCCAGTATTGCTGGGAAACTCTGCCCACTGTCTGGAGTTCGATCCTGATGGGACTCAGCTTTCTATCCTCCTGAGATCGGTAAAATTAGGACCCAGATTGTTGGGAGCAATATGCAATTTAATGCTTATATCGTAAACAATCCAGAGAGTGCTGTATAGCGCTATGGGGTGATATGTAAGACTAAATGCTATTGCTAGTTTTGCATCTCTCTATCCCTCCCTGCCCACAGGTTTTCTACCCATGAATGGAAAAGCATAATCAGAACAAAAGAGGTGGGCAAGTTGTTAATGTGCTGAATTCCATTTCCATATACCAGAAAAGTGCAACATTTTGTGAAAAGGAAGACTTGGCTTCTGTCCACCCACCTTGCTTCTCTATCTAGAGGAAGCGGCTTGGCAGTTTCGCCCCTCCAGAGAGTGCATTTTCGCATTCCAGGTGAAGTGTTTAAGTAATGGAAATACTTCCAGATGTGATTTTATTCTCAACAAACACTCAAATCCTTTCCTGGGCTTCTTCCACGTGTGACAGGGAACTGCTGCTGAAGACTAATGGCTGATTAAGCCAAGTTCAAATCTCCCTGCCTCTTTTTTGTGCAACCATGCTCAAAAAAGGCAAATCCGTTCTCTAAACCAGAAACGAAATCCAGTCCTGACCCAAATGGACTTGATACTTTACACATTACCAAAGTAATACAACTCAGTAAAAATATACTCTGGCTTTGTGACCGGTGTGCAATTGTTGGGCAGATTCTTTGGTGGAAGGAAAACAATTCTGCTATAATCAGATCTCCTTCTTTTACAAGCATGTTTACAAATGAGTATTCCAAATTATGTAAATACACATTAACTTGGTGAGTATCCTTAGAGAACAATCTAACTGGGCAGGAAGCTAAACTCTGCTTTAACACTACAATCTGCAGATGGAGTTGCAAGTGTTCATTTTATAGCCCCCTTCTCTTCCTCTCCGACACCTCTCTTGTCAGACAAAGATTACTATATGCCTCCTAAAAGTAGCAGAGCCACGATAAGACAGAGCTCTGATGGCGTACTTCAAGTGCACAATGTTTCCAGCAAGCTTAAAAGAAATCAAAAAAAGGTGCCAGGTATTAAGTCGATTTACGTCCTACCAGTTCTGGCAGCTTTCCTGGTTGAGCTTATTTGATTAATCCTATCTCAACTCTATAGTTTCTAAGAGATATCCTCAACATGGTTTTACTTTTTAACAAGATAGGTCGACAACATCAGCAAGTATTGCAGGCCCAATACTGAGTACGGTATTGGTTGTGCACATGTGGAAGAGGCCTTCATCCTGCAGTGGATAGAAAATGGCTAAAATGATGATGATGATTCAAGAATCTGGGATTAATATTGCTTGATCTCTCAATACCGCCTGTTTAAGTGGCTGAATACCATAAAACAAGGTTTTTCAGTCTTGCCAACTTTTAAGATGTGCGGACTTGAACTCCTAGAATTTTCCATGCTGGCTGGAAAATTATTGGTTTTGAAGTCCACACAAGACTGAGAAACACTGCCCTAGAGAAACAGCAATACAAGTGGTATTTGCTGCAGCACGGAATGTGGCTCTTTGTGGATAAGCCCACTAATCAATGATGGCTTCTTCCAAGATACTCCATGTTACTTTCCTTCCATTTTTTATTCATTTCCCACAGATGCCATTTTGTAACCACTGACTATGTTTAACACTGTTGAATTGGATTATCTTCTTCATTTCCCCCATTTAGGTGTGCAAAACTGTCTGGATGACTTTAGACCAGTCCAGGGGTGGGTTCTACTTATCTTTACTACAGGTTAGCATTGCGCGTGGCTGCTCACTTTGCTCGTGCGCACGCTCTTCTGTGCATGCGCAGAAGCTTCTGCGCATGTGCAGACGTCACCTATGATGACGTCTGGATCAGTGGTCGAAGCCTCCTTCCGGTTTTACTACTGGTTCTTGTGAACCGGTCTGAACCGGGGGCAAACCACCACTGGACCAGTCCCTCTCTCTCAGCACAACTCACCTCACAGGATTGTTGTTGTGAGAAAAACAGGAGAGGAAGGAGCATTAGATATGTTTGCTGCCTCGAGTTACTTATCAAGTAATAAAGGTGAGATAAAACTTGAATAACTAAATGCAGTTCCTTCATTCTCTCCAGTAGTTTTGCATATTCTGGAATTCTTCCAAGCTTATGGATATCACTTTCAAGGGTAAGTAGCTGTTGGACGAGATCAGGACATAGTTATTCTGATTCTGAAAATGAGTGAGTTATATCTGGTATTCCAAAATGAACCCAAGAGAGCACCATGTCTTCAATTATTACATCACATTATTTCTCTCAACACTGTGCAGAACCATAACCGCGAGTTTTAATCCTAAATAAAACTAGATGGATTCGTGCTGATATCATTCTTGGCGATCGGTTTGTTGAATTACTCTATCACAAATGGATTGCCTTTGGGTATTGTTGAAGTACAATTACGTATTAGCTGTCAAACTATCCCGCATGGGGTTATGATGTACTATGATCCTGGTTGAAAATTCAACAGGGCCGTGTTGAAATTTCTCCCGCAATTTCTAAACCCCCTTGTTAAAACAAGCACAACTTTTTCCCACCTCATTCTTGGGATGCTTGAGAATGCATTTATTGTTTGAAGAGTCAGAACATGATTGCTGTTTTGATGACACCATTTCTTCATCATTCCATAAATCAGTGTTCGCAATATCAGCATTTTTGAGTTGTATGGACCTCAACCAGGGGTGAAATCCAGCAGGTTCTGACAGGTTCTGGAGAACCGGTAGCGGAAATTTTGAGCAGTTCAGAGAACCAGTAGCGGCAATTTTGAGTAGTCCAGACAATCGGCAAATACCACCTCTGGCTGGCCCCAGAGTGGGGAGGGAATGGGGATTTTGCAGTATCCTTCCCCTGCCACTCCCACCAAGCCACGCCCACCATACCACACCACACCACGCCCACCAAGCCACGCCCACAGAACTGGTAGTAAAAAAATTTGGATTTTACCACTGACCTCAACTCCCAGAATTCCCCAGCCAGCACTGGCTGGGGAATTCTGGGACTTGAAGTCCATACATCTTAAAGCTGTTGAGGTTGAAAAACACTATTATAACCATTCCGGTTTCCTATGTTTTCTGAACTATTTCTTTTTAAAGGCTCATAGAAAGAGTTCTTTGCTGATGTCATCTCTTAGGATTTAATTGAAACATTTAAAGCCAGGGAATCTGAAAGTGACTAGACACCACCCACCGCCATCGCTACTGGATCGGGTGATCCGGTCCGAACCAGGAGCATTTCACCCCTGGTTTGAGGACCTGGGCAATCGAGCACATGGGTAAGTGTGAGAGAGAGATTTATACCCTCTCTTGGGCTTTGAACTTGCTTCATGTTCCTGTGAAAGAAATGTATTCTGATTGGTTGTTAAACTCCCATGAGGCCATGCAGGGATAACTTTGTAGGTTGTCTTGAGTCCCAGGCTTGGTTGAATCTTGCTGGGTGATGTAATGAAGGGGCTTTCGACAATTCCTATTATGGCTTAATGGCTTTGTCCTGGTTTGGCTCTTGAGTGAGGGCTAATCCTATCACCCTGGAACTGAAGGTCTTTTGTCTTGTAGATAAAATGGCACCAAAATATCTGCTGGGGCTGAGTTTCTGGGTCCCTCAAGATTTCTATTTCTCTTTTAAGGGAAATATTCTGCCTTTTTAATATTTCCTAGAAAATTTCATTCTTCTAGGAGAGGGGTAGGTGCTAACTTTCTACATATGTAAAGTTCACTTCTATTTTAACTGCATTCTCAGAAGATGAATAGAAATTATTGGTTGTGCCAATGACTGGAATATGTTAGAAACAGAAGATATAGTGGGAAAAATTAAGCTAAGAAACAAAATGGAGACTGTACCCTCCTCCCTTTTGTTTAGATATAACCTGATACTTTGCCTAATTCCATCAAATCCAAATGAACCCTTCCTGTCCCCAGATAAAGCCCCACAATCCCATTTTATTAAACCGTAGGAATCTCAACAGCTCACAGCATGCCCCAAGAGCAGCCCTTAACAAGTGAATGGCAAGTTAGAGAAACCCCAGTCTAGTTCCATCCTCAACCGAGCACCTCAACATTCCACCTCCTTAACATTAGGCTTCCCCATTTGTGGTGTCCTACTCAAAGGGCCACTTTACCCTGCAAGAGAAATTACCCCAAATATCCCGGCAAGTACCTGCCCAGCTTCTCCAAATGGACCATCCAATCAGATCCTTTGGATTTCTTCCCTTGTAATCCTCAGCTTCTATAAAAATATTTGCTTTCTTATTGTTCAGGGCAGGAGTGGGCTTCAAAATTTTTAGCAAGGGGTTCTCTGCCCGGTTGCTAGGTGGGCATGGCCATGGTGTGGGTAGCCTAATTGACCTCCTGCACCATAGCAGGGGTGGGTGGGGGTGGTGTTTTTGCCCTCCCCGGGCTCCGAAGGCTTTCCTTGAGCCTCTGGGAGGGCGAAAATGGCCTCCCCGGGCTCCAGAGGCCCTCTGGAGGCCGTAGAGCCATTTTTTCACCCTCCCCAAGCTTCCGCACAAGCCCTGCACTTACCTACATCCAAAACAGGCCGTGTGGGGACTCCTGGGAGGGGCGGGGTGGGTGGGGCCAGCCAGGTGTTGGATTTGGGGGTTCTCCAAACTGCCCAGAATCTTAGCTAGAGGTTCCCCCGAACTCCTGCAAACCCCCAGCAGCCCACCCCTGGTTCAGGGTCTTTCTTTCTCGTAAAGCTGTCACCCAATGACAATTGCAATAAACATGGTTTCTTCTCAGTGCTGTGCTCCTTCTTCAGAATGGAGCCACAAGAATAGCTGGAAAGAATATATCTTCTTTCTACTGATCCATTAGCTTTAATTTGGCATTTGAGACCCTTGAAGGCCAGACTAATTCATTTAAAAAAAGCTGAAATGTAACAATTTGTCCAGCTACACAAGGAAGTGGATTAGTTTGGATGCTGAGACTAATTCATCACCAGCTAATGCAGGGTGTCAATTTCTGTGTCAAAATAAAGCAGATATTTCCCCCCCCCCGAATTCTGTCACAATGGGGTCAAACCTACCTGTTTCTCAATCTGCCTATTTGTCTTTGAAAGTGTTTGTAGAGAGGATGAAGGAGAAATTATCATCAAGATGATAATGTCACTATTCGGCATGTTGCAATTTACATTTATGGCTTTTTGGCTATGATGATATTGTGTACACGTTGCCATTCTGACATCAATGCTTTTTGTAACAGATGCCACCATTTGGATTCTGCTGTAATCAACAGAGATTAAATAAACCAGGAAACCTCCGATCTATGGTTTGATCTCTATTGTCTCAGAATCAGGATCTTTCACTTTTCTAATTAAAGTAGATCAGTAAATCCCACCACAATCCTGCTACCATCCAGGGTCTTGAGAGATGGTTATTATGTAATGCAGCCCCAGTTCTTGATACTGATTGATTTTATGGAAGTGCAACAACTCACAAAGTTTGAAGATAACAATGAACAAACTTTAGATAGATGTTCCTTGGTGGGTTGAGCTACCCCCACTGGTAGAAGTGAGAATGACTGGACAAAATGCACCACGCTTAATAATAATTCTGGCTCATTGTGAAATGCAAACAGGCCCAGGGAATTCTTAAGCCTTCCCAGTCTTCACTGTAAGCATATAAATGCATCTGTGCTCCAATCCTGTAGCTTAACTCAGTGGAAACTTGATCCAAGTACATTTTGGCCTATTCTATACAACACATGCTAAACTACACTGCCTCTACATTGCTATTGCCTGGTTTGGCTTAGTATATTTTGTGAACTCAGTGTGATGGAATGCCTAGCAGATTGTGGGGGCAGCAAGACAGCTAAGAAGGAAACAGAACCATTACAAAAGAGATGCTGAGTCTCAGAGTAACTCCACCTTAATTACACTAGTACAACTTGTGTGGGAGAATTACTTTGGTAGGCTTTCAAGGTATTGCTTCTTTACTCCACTATCTATAAAGTTCTTTTACAGATAGTGGGGTAAATTGCTTTCCAGAAATCCGAGAGTTGGTTTCCTTAGATTGCCAGACTCACAGGCTAGACGCTCAAACACTATGGTTTGTGAACTACAGTGTAGAGTTGGCTTTGTTGTATGATGCCAGCCAGCTATGACCATATCGTAACAGAGCATGATGTGCAAGCCATTTCTGAAGTTGGAGCTCTTGATATGAACTCTATTTTCATAATTTTTGCCGCAGAGACTCTAATTTAAATGAGGGCTGTGGGAAAGGAGAAAATGATATTTTACTCCTCTGGAATGCCTATGAACCATAAGAGAGAAACCTGAAGACATCTGTGTGTGAGCGCATATCTATCTATCTATCTATCTATCTATCTATCTATCTATCTATCTATCTTTTTCTTTCTTTCTTTCTTTCTTTCTTTCTTTCTTTCTTTCTTTTTCTTTCTATCTAGTTTTACATTTTGTGGCTAAAAGTGCCTTGTGTGTTTTAAGTGGAGCTTTGTCACACAGAGGAATGTTTAATTTCTCATGCACTATATCCCTGTTCCAATCACGAAGTCACGTGCTTCCATTAAAAAGCACTTATACTTTGTATATACATATACATACACACGCACACGCACACACACACACACACACACACACACACAATATGTGTCTCTGTGTGTATATCTATTCTATTGTATGTTATATAATATATAATGAATGAGTTTGTTGTTACAAAATATGGCTATACAAGTTAAAACAGGCTTAGAATTTAATTTGCTGTTACTAGAATGAAGAGGAAAAAAAAGGAGGAACTCATTCTGGAATCTGCTTGGCAATGAAACTTCCTACTTGCAAGGCAGCATTACTCCTGACCAGCATGCTCCTTCATTGTTGCAAAATAAAGTGAGTCATTCTCTTAACATGAGTCAGCTTGGAAATGATTAGCCACAGAAGACTCCCCCCCTCTATTAAAAGAAAGAATTTTGGCTTATATTCTTATTTGACTTCGAGGGTATTGGGTGATGATCACTGTTTCAAAAAAATCACTTCTTTTTTCAGCGCTCATTTGGTGTTGTGTCTTCCTTCTAGAGTTACAATTTGTGTTGAGGGCCCATTCTGATGTCTAGCTCTTTAAAGTTTTTCTACCTGGGCAACTGCCCAGGAACTTTCTGCTTGTGGCATGACTTGTTCCTATCTGGGAAGAACTGCTCAGGACTGGCTGTATCTGGATGGCTTAGTTGGGATGGTCAAATTGATCCGTCTGCCGGAAAGAGGGGAACTGCTAGGGCAGAGCAAAAGGCAGAGCAAGTCAAAAGCAATTTTAGCATTTGCAAGTTATTGTCATGTATCACTTAAAATAGGACAGGGATGTACTGACCAGGAGGGGGGAAAAAAAGAATAAGCTGCCCCTGACAATAAGGATCCCCCCCCCCCCACCCCCTTACACTATTACTTTCTGTATGTGTCTCCTGGAAACAGAAACATGGTTAGAATAAGACCTGTGGTAGCACAGTGATTAGAATGTAGGCTACTTCTGCTGACTGCCAGAAGTCTCACCAGCTCAAGGTTGACTTAGCCTTCCCTCCTTCCGAGGTCGGTAAAATGAGGACCCAGATTGTTGGGGGCAATATGTTCATTCTGTAAACCACTTAGAGGGGGCTGTAAAGCACCGTGAAGCGGCACAGAAGTCTAAATGCTATTGCTATTCAAAAGTTTGTCATTTTTCACTGGATAAATGTTTGCTTATTTAACCATGAGGTGCACTGAAAACATTTCACCCCATCCTGAAAACTACTTGGTACTATAAGGAAAAAATTGATATGGGCCCAAAATATTTAAGATCCAATCTCCATTTGGAGACTGTCTCCTGATACATACCTTAAAACAGCCTATCAACAGGGGGAAGTACAAGGAGCACTGATGCCGTTATCTAGTTAGGGTAATGAAATGTTTGCAAGAAAACAAGCAAGCTCAGAGCATACCAAGGACCCCTCAGTACAAGGAGTCAGTATCTAGTTAGTCAACCATGAATAAATTAACCTTCAAGGGATTGTACCAATGAAACCTACAACTCTGACCACCTGAATTCTGGAGGTTTACTTTCACGTCATGCACAGACTTCTCCTGGAGATTTTGGTCTGCCGGAACAGGACAATTAAGTGACAGTGTTTAATCCGAGTTCATACTGTGGGTTTGGAATGCTGTCTGTTCCCTGCCCCGTTTGACCACGCAAATAAATCTCGCCCCTCTTTGTAAACAACAAGCAGCATGTCAAGGAAAAACCGTTATATACAATTTACATTACTGACTGCTAGTTGCAGTAGTGTT